ATTAGTAGTATTAGAAAAGATTGACACACACACAGTCACAATCAATTTCCACTTTTATTTCGTTTTTTCAATTATATTCTGTTCGCAGGAATATTCTGGTGGATTTAAAAGACTAGAAAGGCTACTTTTCCTTGACTACCTTTTTGCAACACTGAACTGGCCACCGGCACCATAGATGGCAGACACTCAGCAGTGATCTGAATTGTAATCGCTGGTGGCCTGCCAACAGCTGCTGCTGTAGCTTGAGCTCTGCTCTGAGTCTGTGCTACAGTGTCCTCCTGTCATTACGACTGCTGCTGCTGTTGTTGTCTGTTTTGCTTCGATAATTGTGCACTCATTTGCCTGTAGTTTTAGCGTTGTTTCTATCTCACCTTATCACCACCGTCAATGTACTAGTTGCCTTAGTGGTGGTGGTGGACACTTTAGTGCTTTCTGCACAGTTAGAACAGCACCTTTTGGCATTATTAGCTGAATGTAGACGCCACCGCAGCTTTACAGCAGCAGCAGCAGCAGCTGTCAACACACTGGAGTTCATCAGACACACTCTGATCTCGTCTTTCAAACACCACTCGCACCTTCTAGCAATTCTCAATGGTTGACAAAATGTAAGTGCGCAGACAACAGTGGTACTGGTAATTAACTAACCTGGTAACACATGTTCTTCAGTTTAAGTATATTCGGAAGCGGAAACTCATCTGCGACGAATTATCCTAGCGATGATCAGCAGCAGCCATTCGACCGACTAAGACGATCCCCGACTGTGGAGTTGATTGAAGACAGTCCCAAGTATCGCTCTTTTCGGGGAAGGGTAGCCCTGAAGCGGTTGTCCCTGGACGAGGACTGTACCAAGGCTTGGTCCTACCACGAGTGCGGCCCGCGTGAGGTTCGCTGTCCGATGGTCTTCCTCCCACCGGTCACCGGGACGGCCGATGTCTTCTTCCAGCAGGTGGAGTACCTCGCCGAGCGGGGCTACCGCGTGATCTCCGCCGAGTACCCCAGCTACTTCACCATGGAGGAGTTCTGCGAGGGCCTCCTCCGCCTGCTGCGCTACTTCAAGGTGAAGCAGGTGCACCTCTTCGGCGCCTCGCTGGGCGGCTTCCTCGCGCAGAAGTTCGCCCAGTACAACCCGTCTGTGATTGCCTCGCTCTTTCTCTGCAATGCCTTCGGTGACACTTCTCGGTTCAAGTTTGTCAACACCGTTCCACTGTAAGTAGAAGGAAGGGTTTTATTGGTTTGGATGAGTTTTATGACAGCCTTTGCCTTTATTATTGCCTGTCAGAGTGTGGCTCGCCCCGGCGCCGCTGCTGCGCAGTTACTTCATCACCAAGGAGGTGCCGGAGGACGCCGACGAGCAGATCCGCGCCGCCGCCCACTTCATGAGCTCCAAAGTGGCCACCCTCTCGCAGGCGGACCTGCTCGCCCGGCTGACGCTGAACCTCACCAGCGACTACGTCCGTCCGGAGCGACTGCAATCGCTGGCCATCACGGTGATGGACGTCTTCGACCACTGCGCCCACAGCAGCTCCACTCGACTGGAGCTGTACAAGCTGTACCCGAGTGCTCGGCGCGCCCACCTGAAGCAGGGCGGCAACTATCCCTACCTCAGTCGGCCGGAGGAGGTGAACATGCACCTGCTGGTGCACTTGCGCCAGTTTAATCACACAGAACGGGCAGCCTGTGTTCACTTTATGGACGTCAAAGAGGGCGCCGCCGATCTGGACACCTCCTCGGTGGAGTACCACTCTAATTCGCTGGAGTCCTCTGTGGAGGTAGCTCGAGTGGCAGAGGAGCAGATAAGGCCGCCGCCGCCCACCGCCAAAGCGATTGCTGAGAGAATTGAAGAGGTGGCAGTGGAGAGTGCTGCTGCCAACAGTGATATGACTCCAAAGCTGGTGAAGGAAGCGGCGGTCCCGTCCAGTGCAAATGCCCAAGTCGACCACCTGGTCTGAGATAAAGAAGCCTAAAACCTAAAACATTTCGTACCCTATCTTCCACTACGTGATATTTCGAACCTGTCTATTGACTTACCGTCTTGATTTACTTTTTTTGAAAGTGTACCTGCTTTTTACATACACCAATGACACAAACTAAGATACAAAAACAGTTATTTCTGAAGTTGAGATGCATGTTTAATTAAGGTTATTTACACTGGATGATTGTTGAGTGGGAGAGATCACTGGCCGTTCTGGCTTCCATTGGAATTGCCTGAATACTGTCGTTGAAGCTGTTGTTGCTGCTTGGCCAAGTTGTCAAATATGGAGCTGTTTTTGTACTTCATCAGCAGTTCTCTCTTCATGATCAGCTGTTGGCGCAAGGACATGAGCAGTTGAAGTTGCTCTTCTTTTGAGGTGCTGACGCCTGGCACCTTCGGTACCGTTGCCCGGAATTCACTGAACAGCTCCTTTAGTTGTTGCATCTTTGCGTTCACATCCGAGCTCGACGGCTGCTGCATCAGCATCATCTTCTGCTGAGATGAATTGTCTTGCGTTTCCTTTTCAATGCTAAAGGACGCTTTAGTAAAGCTGTAGTTTAAACCCCAATATCTCGACACCTACCTCCGAATAATCTCATAGATGAGCGGAAGAAAATCCGTGTTCAGATCTGGTACGCNACTAAACTTAGGCATTAGTAAAGCTGTAGTTTAAACCCCAATATCTCGACACCTACCTCCGAATAATCTCATAGATGAGCGGAAGAAAATCCGTGTTCAGATCTGGTACGCTTACAGACATGATTTTTTGCGGTTGTGATCAAAAGATGAAAATCTGAAGATCCGACCAAAAAATCAACAAAAACAAACAACAGCGGTGCAACAACTGTTCACAGAGGACGTACTCTGCATTTGAGCAAAACAACCAGGAAAGTCAGTCAGTGCAGTACCGATTTGTCGCGTTGAGTAATCAGTACTTCTTGGTTGCAGCTTCTGTTGGTTGATAATCGGTGATTTATGCATCATAGCAACTAACACGAGTACTGTCAATCAGCAACTTCTAATGTTTGAGCTGATGCTGCTGCTGCCGACGTGCTGAAGCCCTTCCTCATAAAGTAGAAGTAAGTTTGTGTGTGTGTTCTGTCTGACTGAGAATTTTCCTCATTCACTCTTCCTAACCCTGACCTCTATTTTTAGAGACACCAATCGCAGCCAGTGCCACTTTCATTGCCGCCAGCTGTACTTGTACAACAATAGCACGTCTTCAGTCTTCAGTTGCCCAAAGTCACATAAGTAAGTCTGTGAATGAAGGAAAAAGTTTGCTTGTACTTAATTTTCTCATTTTCAGTTAACTAGCAAAATGCTGTCAAATCATGTCAAGGAGCAGGCGGCCAAGTTTGACCAAACCATATCTTATCAACTGTACTCACTTGGGCGAAAGTTCACCACAAAATCACGCAAATATTTGAAGGCGTTGGAGTACTCCTGCCACGGCATCCCATGGCTCCTGGCAATGGTCATCCTGTGCTACGTCAGCCGAAGCAAGCTATGGATTCGCCTCCTGATTGGCCTCATCTTTGACGTGGTCTACGTTGCCCTCTCAAAAGCCTTCTTCCGCCGTCGTAGACCGACGTACTCAAATCAGGAAGATCAGATGATCATGATTGGCTACGACAAGCTGTCCTTTCCTTCCGGTCACACCTCTCGGGCCATCTACGTCGCCCTCTTCTTCTCCGGCTACTGGTACAGCCTGCTGATCTGGACGTGGGCCCTTGCAGTCGCTGCCTCCCGTGTCATCTACGGCCGCCACTTTGTCGGCGACATTCTCGGTGGCCTGGTAGTCGGCTACTGGAACTACATTACCCAGTTCTCGCTCTTCTTTCCAATCCACGCAATGCTAGAGTTCTTTCTGCTCAATCTCATCGGCGACGGTGGTGAAGACTACTGATTGAGTTTTGATCAGCTGTGCTGATCTCACCAATCTCCATCACCATTGACCAGTTTGATCGTCCACTGAAAGTAAGAGAGAGACCCAAACAGACAATTTCTTTGTGTATTACTAAATTCCTTCAAGCTACACCTCTTTGTATGACATCTTTGATTGTTTTCAATTACTATTATTACCTTCCTTGATCATGTAAAAACCTGTAACCTAAGTAAACATATAATTTGATGGCAATATTTACTATCCTTCAAGATTCTGACTCAAAGATAAAGACCACCACCAACACCACCTTTGAAGCTACAGTGATACGCCCGAGGCCGAGTCGAAGGAGTCCTCCGATTTAGCCTCCCTTTTAGTGATCAGCTTCGGAGTGCTAAACATGAGAGCACCCTTTGCTGCCGATTTTGTTCTTCTTGAACCAGTATCTTTTTTAGCCAGAATCTTCTTTGGGGGGTGGACAACATCGGTTTGTCCAATATTTTCGGCTCTCATCTTTCTGCTCCTAAAACTGGGCCTTGTTTTCTTCTGTGCAGCACTCTTTTCTAGTGCTGCCATTGTTGTTGTCTCTTCTTTCGGCTTTTTCTCTGACGATGAAGGTTCCCCTTTTCTTCTGCCGGGAATTTTGGTGGTCTTGTTCTCCTGTCGGTCTTCTCTGGTCGGTGGTGAAGGGACCACTTTTCCCTTGGGCCAGTGGTCACGCCACACGTGATTCTTTCCGCCCACCGTCTGAAGGGTGTCTCGATCTGCAGATCGGTAGTCCTTGAAGAAGTAGAGAAAGCATATGCACTGAACGAGGGCGTAAAGGACGGCCAGTATCATCACGGAGAAGAGCATCCAATGGAAGGGGCTGATTTCTAATTTGAGAGTAATTGACAGCGGAGTTGAAAAAACAGCAAAACACTAACTTACCAGTAGTGGTTGATCCATTTTGAAACGTCGTCGTCGTTCCATCTGAGGATAATGTTGTATCCATGTGCTTGTCTGTGACACTGGTGAAAAGTGGTGTAATTCGAATCAAATTGTGATTTTAAACTGCTTTTACTTTTATTTAATAACATTTTTATCGTTGCAAAAAAATTAGAACAATGGAACCTAATTAAACTTGGTCTCAATGGGAAAACCTGTTTTCTATTTCGATTGCTCATTTCGTCGACGACAAAAACGATGATGATACCTTTCAGTCAGTGTCAAAGTGCACACAGTGGGTGCTGTTGGCAGCACTGTCAAACTTCTGCTGCAGCTACTGCTGCGACTGTTCAGTGTCCCCTCAGCAGTGTTTGTCAGCAGTCCTCTCGCTTTCAGTTCCATTTCATGCTCACTTGTGTCGGTGATTACCCCACTTTACACTTGTGATCATGGACAATGACAGCTCGCTGGACTTCACCCTCTCGCCGTCATTTCACACCGCTCGCTTCGATTCCACCAACTACAGGACTTGCAATACCCGATTTACTAACTTTCAAACCGTAATTTTTAACACTACCGAGCAACTTGATGAAAGCGATGGCCACAGCAGTTTTAAAGACATTGTCACCGACTTTGCTGATCCCGAATCGGGCGTCTTCTGGGGCGCAGTCACCGAAACGGAGAAGCAGCGCAGAAACTTTCAGGCCGAAAACAGCTCAACTCTAATGGGTAAGTCACTTTGTTGTTGTCACACCAAAAAACTGCCATTGTTTATTTTGAGCACTAAAAACGGTCCAACTTTTTTTCGCAGCCCCAGGTGAATCGCACGGTGAAGTGAGCCAAGACCAGTCGCATCAGCTGACTGCCGTCTGCAAGAAGGACTCTGGCATTGACAGTATGGACCAGTGTACGCCGGTTACGCTAGTTACGCCAGTTACGCCAGTTCCAGAGCCTCCTAAACCTCGCTCAAAGATGCGCCTCAGCATAAACCGATTCGGATTTGACATGAAGAACCGCGTTAAGGGAGGTTCCCGGAGACCGTCCATTCGACGCACCTCCATCAAGTCAAATCACTATTTGCGCGCCCCAAAGACCCCAAAGTGGGACATCAAACCGATGCACAGCAGCACGCCCTTTCCCAAGTACTAACGTATCACCATTTTTACTCATCTTTTTTATAACTAAATTATATTATCACCAGCTGACGAAACCATTTTATGATTATTATCTTATTGTTTACTTGCAGTACCCTTGGCAGTTCATTACCTGCGCCAAGATTCTCAAATACACCACTTTTACCCAGTGAGATTTAGACTTTTGGCACCGGTATCGTCACCATTTCTTGGGAAACATCACTTTTTCCTCTGTTTGACTACTGGAGGCGTTGATCTGCTCATCGTTTGCGCTCATGTTGGACTTTAAAAGCGGTTGCTTGCTCAACCTCAGTTTTGGTTGATCAAATGATGTTCCGACGGTTTTGGGTTGACTTTGTTTTGCTGGAGGCCGGACGCTTGTGTTGTCTTTTTTAGCACTCCCTGGAACAGTGCTGAGAACTGTTTTGCGAGAAAGATTAGAATTAATTTACCTGTGTTTAAACACTTACAGCGAGCACACTCTGAGGAGCTCAAACTAGGCGGGGCAAACATTTTGGAGCCAAAGTTTTCGCCCATTGGGTGGTGCACTTGCCGAGGAGTTTTACACTTTGACGCCGGTGTTTTGGTGCTGACGGTTGACGGCACTGTTTGGTTGAACACTTTTTGGAGGTAGTAACTGGGCAGTGGTGATCGTTTGCCACCTTTTCCACCACCTCCAAACTGTTTTCCTGACTTCTTTTGCATCGTTTTTGGAGACACTTCTTTCACTGGTCGAAGTAGAATGGAGTTTTTATCCGTAAACTCCTTGCCCATAGGAGTAGAACTTTGGTCCTTAAGAGTAAAAGTGCTTAAACTTTCTTTTTTTCGCAGCTTTATCTGTTTAGCTACTTTCTCCTTGCGGTTGCTTTTGTTGGTTGGCTCAGTCTCAAAGGTACCGGTGAAGTTGTCTTCACTGTTGATGTTGTTTGTGATGACTGCCGCTGTAAGTTTTGGACTACTGAACTCCGATTTTCCAGATGATTGAGGTGCCCGTTTGAGAGGAGCGTCATCCTCGTCGTCACTTATCTTTTCAACACTTCCCTCTGACTCAGATTTGTGCTCAGTCATGTTGTGCTGAATCGGGAACACCAAACAACAGAATTCTATTTGTTTGACACGTTTAAGTAATCATTTTGCTAGTTCTATTTGTAATGTTTGCTTTATTCGAACAATCAACGATGTATTAGTTTACTCAGTTTTCCAGTGTTTTTGCAAAACACTTTCACTTCTAGCTTGCCAAACGAAAAATAGAGATGACGCGCACAAAGAAGACTCAACCCAAGAAGAAGAAGAAGCTGTTCTCGCAGAAAGGCTCGCAGAAAGGAAGCAACAAAATGTCGGCCAAGGTAAAGTCAAACAAAAAGTCGCTGAACAGCAAAGCGACGGCCTTTGTGACACCGGTCTCCCTGGCCACTTCTGCTAAACCGGCTGCCAAGCCGCTCTCTGCCAAACTGCGCTCTGCAAAAGGTCTGTCGCCAAAAGGGACCAGCGTCAAGCACAAGGTTTCCCCTAAATCAACTTCCAACAAGAAAGAAACGGTTAACCAGTTTACAAATGATGAGGGTGGCGGTGGTGGGGGTGGTCAGGTGAGCACCACCGACGATCAGCCTGCTCTGAAGAATGCCTATCGAAAGATGTACGGTATGTTTTTAGTTTGCAAAAAATCATTTCAAGTCACACTTCTAACACTTCAAACTTTCCAACTCCTCAGAGAATCGCTTCTCTCAGCAGCGCATTCCCGCCTGCACTCCGCTGCTCACCGTCGGCTCGGCCATTCCCTTCTTCGCCCTGATAACCGTCGCCTTTGCCGCCATTGGCTGCATCATGTGGCAGCTGAATAGCTATGTGAGTTTGCAAACAACAAAACTTAAAATAACTCACTCATTTCACTCACCCTTTCATTAATGCAGGCAGTGGAGTACACCTTTGACTACACTGACTGCGTCAATCACCTGACGCACAAGCCGTGCCAGCTCGAGGTGAGCCAGTTTTGGTCACCGGTGAATGGTTCTTCTACGACCACTACTACCACAAAAACTACCACCACAACCACCACCAAAATCCCCAGCAGCAGCACCAGCAGTCCTAACAACAATAGCAACCACCACCACCACAACAACGACAGCACAGTGCCCCACTGCCACTGCCACCTGTTCATCACCTTGAACCACAGCATTCCCTGGAACGTCTTCATCTACTACCGCATCGAGTCGCTCTTCCAGAGCTACCTGCCCTACTCCGAGTCCATCGACGAGGTGCAACTGAATGGGCACCTGAACGGCTCCGAGGAGGTCTGCGGCGCCTACTTTACCCGACTGAACGGCACCAACACGCCCATCGCCCCGTGCGGCATGATCGCCAACAGCCTCTTCAATGACTCCATTGCGCTCTACAAAATAGTGGAGCACCCGGAGGTACACCTTTTCATTGCCTCTTTTTCATCTGTTCTTTTACACCCTTTTCCCCTTCTCTTCTAGCGAGATCACAAGTACCTGCTGGAGGTGCCCCTTTTCAGCACGGGCATCACCTGGACGCCAAAGTACGCGGTGAAGAACCCGCCGGTGATGCACAGCTGCCCGGCGGGCGTCAGCAAGCTGCAGTGCGCCTTCAACGGCACCGCCTCGCCGCCCAACTGGCACCGCCACATCTGGGAGCTCGACCCGGAGGACGCCGAAAATAATGGCTACAAGAATGAGCGCCTCCTCTCGTGGATGCGCTTTGCGCCCTTTGGCGTCTTTCGCAAGCTGTACGGCCGCGTCGACCACCAGCAGGTGAAGACGGTGAGGAATGCCTACGCGGCGCAGTACTACTTCGGCAAGACGCTCAGCAATGGCACCTACCTCCTCAACATCTCATACAGTAGGTGTTGTTTAAAAAAGAAACATTTTTTGCTAAATACTTACTCCTCCCTGTTTTGCAGACTATCCAGTGGCAGGTTTTGGCGGTCGAAAGGCGATCATCATC